CTCTCATTTCTCTTTCTCTCTTTAAAAAAAGAAAGAAAAAATATAAGCATTGTAAATATTTATATCCTAAATGTCAGTACACCAAACTAACATTACTTGAGAAAAAGTGAATAATGGACTCCATTACACTAATAGTGGATGACTCATAATTGGCTTCTCTGAGGAATAGAGATGTCCCTGGGAATTAAGACTGATGGACCTTTGGTTCCAGTCTATTGACTGAGTATCATGTTTATTTGCTTTTTCAATGTAATGATAAAAGTAATAGACAGTATTGACGTCATAAAATACTGCTGCAGCAAGCATTTTAGCCTTTTTGGGGGGCACAGATTGTTCTGTTCCATTAACATTAATTCAGAAAAAGCTGCAAACCAAGGTACTACCTATTCTCAATGCCTCAAATGGTGCCTGAAAAACAATATTGCCTTTACAAAAAAAATGGATTCAGGACATCACATTGCTACTTATGATAACATTTTCAAAGGGATACAATGTAAAGGAATTTAATATTGTGTGTGTTGATAAAAAATAATTCTTTTTTTCACACATTTCTTGAGGTAAAATTGAAGTACAATAAAGTGCACATATTTGAAGAGTGCTATTTGTTCAGTTTTGACATGTATGTAACCAATACAATCAATATAGAAAGCATTTCGATTACTTTTTAAAATTTGAAATACTGCCTATTGTGTTTCCTGCATGATTTATTACAGTAGAAATCAATCACCTTAAGATATATAGGACCTTACCACCACATGACATCTATTTCAAAATTAAATGGCACACTTATAAATATCTCTCAGAGATCAAGGAAGAAAGCACAAGAAATGTAAATAAAAAGCGCTTTGAACTAAGTCATAATAAAAAATTTAAATATTGGGATCTCTGTGAACAAACAGTACACAGATGAATATTTACAACTTAAAGTACTGTATCATAAAGAAGCTAGAATAACAATCAAGTTATTTTCAAATTATGTAGTAGGGAGGAAAACTAATACTAGAAGCAGAAATACATGAAGTAGAGAAGAAATAATAATGCTAAATTTGATAAAAATCAAATAAGTTTAATGAAGTAAAAAGGCAGAACACAAAAATTAATATCAATGGAAATGGAGTGATCCAAATATCCCTACAGATGCTAAAAATATATTAAGGTAATATTACAAATGTATGCCAACATATGTTATAGTTCACATAACATGGTATATATTAGAGAAAGTTCCATGTACTGCTGAGAAGAAAGTGTATTCAGACATTGATGGATGAAATATTTTATATGTCTATTAATTAAATTATCAATTATAAATTGGCAAAAGAACTAAATGGAAACTTCTCAAAACAATAAATACAAATGGCCAACAAACATATGAAAAAAATGTTAACATCCTAACAGTAAAGGGAACACAAGTCGAAACTAATTGAGAATTCATCTCACTCCTGTCAGAATAGCAAATATCAAGAATATAATAAGTGGCTGGGGTTGTGGCTCAGTGGTAGTTTTCTTACTTCACATGTGTGAGGCACTGGGCTCCATCCTCAGCACCACATAAAAATAAATAAACAAAATACAAAATTGTGTCCATCTACAATTTTAAAAAATACAAATAAATTCTGGCAAGGACATGGAGGGGGAGGTACACTCATACATTGCTGGTGGGATTACAAATTGGTGCACCCACTTTGGAAAACAATATGGAGATTCCTTGGAAAACTTGGAATGGAGACACCATTTGACCCAATTATCCCACTTCTCAGCATATACCCAAAGGACTTAAAATCAGCATAACTATAATGATACAGCCACATCAATGATTATAGCAGCTCAATTCACAAAAGCTAAGCTATGGAACCAATCTAGGTGCTCTTCAACAGATGAATGGAAAAAGAAAGTGTGGCATATATACACAGTGACATTTTTTTCAGCTATAAAAAGAAAGGAGTGATGGCATTTGCCTGTAAATGGATGGAACTGGAGAACATCATGCTAAGTGAAATACACCACACTCAGAAAACCAGGGGTCAAATGTTTTCTCCCTTATGCAGAAACTAGACAAAATTAAGGGGGGATAAGGGGGCAGAAATCCCATGACAAGAGAAATCAGTGAGATAAAGAAGGGAATTGAGGGAGAGGAAGGGGTAATGAGAAATGGGAGGAATATTAGAATAAATTCAATCAGATTATGTTATGTTGCATATATGAATATGCCAGTGAATTTCACCTGTATGTATATCTATAATGCACTAATTATTAAAAAAAACTAAAAATAAATGGATGAAAGATAAGTAGGGTAAGGAAAAGAGAAAGGGGGAAGGAAAAAGGGATGGAAAGGGTAAGTACCGGGGATTGAATTTGAGCAGATTAATTCCATACATGTATAATCATATAAAAATTATCACTGACAGTATGCATAATTATAACATGCCAATAATAGAGACTTTAAATATAAGGAAGACGAGTACACTAGAGGGAGGTAGAATGGCAAGGAATATGTAAATACAACAACTCAAGTAGAGCAAAGTATATTCCATGTATGTATGATTATGTCAAAAAGAACCCCAATATTATGTATAAATATAATACACTAATAAAACACTTTAAAAGGCTCCTGACATAGACCTAGAGTCCCCAAATCTCCAATGTACTAGAGTCAGCAATTATCAATTTAATGAAAACTATTATGTTGTTCAACGATGAAATGATGTCATAAACATGTGGAACCTTGAACTGAAGATGGCTAATGAATAACATACACTAGGTAAGTGTGAGTTACCATTATTTTTGTTATCACTAAAGAACTGCAATGGAAAAGGATTGATGGGGAGGATGGAATGACAGGAAAATGCTGTAAATGAAATAAAATTGACCCTATTATGCTGTGTATATTAGTGTATATAGGAATATATGTATGTATATAGATACATATGTGAATTTCACCCTTATGTATATATGTAAGAACTAATTTGATTTATAATCAGCATACTACAGTGACACAGCAACATCAATATTTATAGCAGCATAATTCACACTAGGTAAGCTGTAAATGGATAAAGAAAATGTGGGATATATACACAAAAGAATATTACTCTGCCACAAAGTAGAATGACTTCATGACATTTGCCTGAAAATGGATGGATCTGGAGACTATCAACCTAAGTGAAATAAGCCACTCACTAAAAACCAAAGGTGGAATGTTTTCTCTGATATGTGGAAGAGAATCTACAGTAAGGGGAGATTAAAAAAGAAGTTCAGTGGAACAGGCAAAGGGGAATGAAGGGAAGGGAGGAGAAATGGGAAAAGGAAAGACATTGGAATGAATCTGATAAAATTTTTCTAAGTACATATATGAATATGCCACAGTGAATCTCACCATTGGGTACATACACAAGAGAGTAATTTTAAAAATAACTATGGGAAAATGCCGGACAGATCAGTAGAATAGGGGGAAGGGAACAGATGTTTTGGAAGAAAAGGGGAGGAGAGAGAGATACTGGGGACTGAATTAGAACAAGATATATTCCATGCTTTTATAATTATGCAAAATGGATTCTACTGTCATGTTTGACTAAAGAAAACCAATGAAGACTAAAAAAGTAAATTTAACTATGTATAAATAAGTAAAAGGAAAATTAGTAGAGAGTTGAGGAAGTGGTAACAGGGAGGGAGAAGGTTAGGAAAAAAGAAAGTACTAGGGACTGAAGCAGAGCAAATTATATTGTATGCATATGTGTTTATGTCAAAATGAAATCTGATATTATGTATAACTAAAATGTACTAATAACAATACAAATAAGTGAATTCCAATAAGTGGAGCTAGTGTCATAAACATGCACAGATCTATATTTGGCATGCCCATGTGCAACCATAGAGCACAGATCAAAATTATCTAGGAAAACTGATGGAGTGGTGGCTTTTAACTTTCCTTGTACACAAGGATCATATCAGCACACAATAGAAGCAGGTAATTTTTAGACAGACTGCGTCATTATAGGCAATTTGCAAGAAAGATTGATGCCTTGTAGAGTTTGAAGTGATGAAGGCCTGAGGTTGCCCTTTCTGTCTCTGTTAAGTGGGGTCCACTGCTGAAATAAAGTGATCCAAAAAAAAAGTGTTCACAGGAAAGCCAAGCTCTACATTACTCTAAGTCTTGCAGAGACTTTGGTTTCAGAGAATGGGAGAAAGAGGTTTTATACTCTGAGTCATTCACAAAAGTAGTGTTGCCTTGATATCAAAGTCCAATAAAGATAATACGTGCCATAAAGATATAGGCAAACATAACTCATGAGGATCTTCACAAAATTCCTAAACAATTCATTGACATAGATTACTTTAAAAAAGGATTTAATATGCTATGACATACTATTTCCCTAAGAATTCAGTATTAGTTTAAACATAGCCACCTATCAAAGTAACTTTGATTATAAATCAAAGTAATTCAGATTAATGACGGAAAATGTCCAATAATTACCTAAATAGATGTGCTACAGATGTTTGATGAAAATCACGAGTCAACAGAAATAATCCTCTGAGAGTAAAAATAGAATTGAACTTCTTTATTCTGATGAAGTGTACCTATACAAATAGCAGACAGCATGGTGAGGCATCTGAATTTCCCATTTTCTATCAGGCACAAGAGAAGAATACCAAATATGCAATATATTCAACATGGGACTGTGTTGGGTCTGTCCAGAGTTGTAATACAGAAAAAAAAAATAGTGTTCAAAATAGCAGAAATAGGTTGTCAGTATTCAAAGATGATATGATGGCATATGCTGAAAATCAAACAGGACTGAGAGATAAATATGGGATAAGCATATCTAGTATGGCTGTCAGAAAGAAAATCAACATATGACCCTGACATGCATACACACAAGCAGTGGTACATTCTGCTTTGAACTTAAAATTTCAAAACAGATACAGTTTTCAATGGTATCAAATACCTAGGAAAAAGCCAAGGCAAGTGAGACCTCTTTGGAGAAATTTGTAATTTTATTAGGAGAATTGGAAGTCAAATATCCAATACAACAACAGCCTGCAGTGTTTTCACTTTGTCTTCATTTATACCTCAGGTGGCCCTTCACCTGTAATATAAGCATAACAGTTGGGGACATTATCAGCAGAACTTGATTTATGTGGTATTAAAAACATATCAATAACACCAGAAATTTGGTTCTATAACACAGACCAAATCAAGATCCGTGTGTGGCACTGTTTGGCTTACATTCAATTACACCTCTGTGGAGACCTTGAAGAGAGACTTATGGGCATGGATGTTATCACTATTCTTACAACACACCATACTTTCTAATGGTACAGAAAATCAAGAGACTGACTTTTAAACACAGTTAATGAAACATAAATTCATCTTCAAAAACAAAGATAATTTTAAGTAGAGAGTAAAAATCTGGAACATTTACACTAAAAATCTAGCAACACAAAAAATAAAACAAAATGAATTAAGTAAAAAGGTATAATTAAAATGTTTTAGATAGATATAATAATTTGGATATACAGTTAATATCACATTTGGAACTGGATACATGATGTGAAAGGGAAATTAACTATTTCATTTGTCTGTGGAAAACTGTTGGTTTTGGCTAGATTACCCCTGAATGGTTTCTAAGATGGTGACAATGATTCTTTACTTTTCACCTATACTACATCCATGACTATGAATAGCACCTCTTTTTTTACATTCAAAAGCACTCTACTTTGTAAAAATAAATTATATGGTCACATTAGTTTTCAGCTCTGACCATTATTTTTAACATTCAAATGAGAAGAAGGTATATGCCATGTCTCATAGTATGGCAATCAAAAACTAAATGAAAACAAAGGAAGAACTGGAGAAAGAGAGGGAGGGGGAAAGTAAGATAAATTCAAAAGGAAACATTTATATCTAATAATTGCTTTGGAATGGCAACCGCTTTTCTAGATATTAGTGATGTTTAGATTCATGTACTACTGGAGTGTCCTAAATTATGTGTGCTCTTGTGTCATAGCAATTTCATTCATACATTTAAAATATCAGAATTTAAGAATGTATTCCCTTTCAATTATATGATATATTTGCTATCTGTTAGTATCCTGCTCATTTTCCTTGTTGGGATTTTTCCACTGTGTTTTACATTATGAAATCTGAATTGTGATCTTGATCACCAGCAATCTTGTCATTTATTAGTTGGATTACTGGCTCCTTTTATCATTCATACAGGTCTTTCATTAAGTATCCCTTTCCCTTTCCATTAGGTTTATCCTGTTGCTCTTACATATATTTTTATATAGCATGATCACATACTTTGGCATTTATCTTAATATCATATTCGTTTAAAGTATGATATTCCTAAGACTGTGTTATAATCATGTTCATTAGATTTCTGGAAGTGGTCAGAAAATAATTTTCTACCATAAATAGTCAAATAGGAAGGTTTATCATTGCAGAGGAAAAGCATTTAGAAAACTAGTGTAATTTCTTCCCTTGATACAAAGTGCTTCATTAAATTCAGAAGCCCTCATAACTTATGGTCATCCATTTGGAAAACACATTTATAAATCATACTTAAGTGGACTACAAAGAAAGCAATACTCCATAGTGTTTGAACTTCAACATTTATCCAGTAAAATCTCAAGGTAAAAACATGTACTATATAATATATGGTATGGGTAGACAAGATGGTATAATATACTGTCCATTGTCATAGTAGAAAAATTACTACATTATATGCACATATGAAAGTGCCAAATCATAACCCATTATTTTATACAAGTCATAAACACAGATAATTATAATTTTAAAAAGTCTGCACTGTAGTGAATCAAAGAGAGATAAAAGGCCAGAAGTCTTCCAGTCAGAAAATCAATTCTTCCTTTGAAGCTGGAAATTATTTTGCCTCTTCGTAGCTTCACTAGGGTCATTCCTGTGGTGTTTTCCACTCTTTTTCCTGCCTGACCTTCCTTCCTATACTTCATGGCTCTCAAGTGCAGGATTTATGTCTGACTCACCTTCACTATTTCTTGCAAGGATTCGGGCTCCTCTGTGCAGTACGTGCTAATGAATATTCATATTTGTGAACTGAATAAATTTGTGATCAGGGAAGGTGACACATACACGTATTTCCAGCTATTTGGAGGCTGAGGTAGGAGAATCACAAGTTCAAAGCCACCCTGGGCAGTTTAGGGAGAATTTGTCTCATAATAAAAAATAAAAAAGGACAAGGCTGTAGCTCAGTGGTAGAGCATCTTGATTTCAATCCCCAGTACTACACAGAAAAGAAAATTTATTCAGTTGTAGAAGAGAAGAAAAGAAAGAAGAGAGGGAGGAATGGAAGAAGAAACAGAAATATCACTTCATCAAGTATGAGAAGGGGACAAGTATTTGCATAGCATAGACATCTTCCTCACAATTACCTTGACCCTCTCTGATCGCCTTTCATTCTTCCTGTATCATGAGCCACAGAAATAGAAACTAGACTACCTGTTCTCTTTTTATTATTCTGTCATTTCTGGCTTCATTGGGGGAAGGACTGAAAATGCCATTATTTACTAATAGACATCTAACTCAGAATATGACAGACTCTGAGAACAGACATTCAGGTCTCCAAACAGAATTTTAAAAAAGGGAAACGTCAGGCAGAGTGGATGCTCATTTGCTTAGAAGCAGTGAAATCTCTATTCATATGGTGTAATTTCATTCAAACACAAATTTCAAGATAACTGAATCATGAAAAAAAGACCACCTCCCCATTCTATCCAACAGAACCAGAGGGTGCAATAATAAGCAGTTGAGATGATTTTAATATATGATTTGAATTCACTATTTTTAATAAGTGCAAAAAGGATCAATTTAGAAGTTAGGGATTCATTCAGATTCCCATCAGTTTTGTTATGTCTGGTATGAGAGTCTATTCAGTACATCAGCATGTTTTGTAGGAACTGATATTTCAACCACATTCTGTATGAGTTAAAAAGAAAAATAATGAAAGCAATCTGAAAATTGCTACTGGTTGCTAAAGAGACTTCAAAGTTGAAAATTGCTTTCTTACTTTATGGTTTAGGCCTAGCTTGTCTTTGTAAGTGAAAGTCAGGTATCTGAGGTCTAACCACTTTGCTTAAGAACCTGTATGTGTGAAATGTGTTTTTAATGTAGTAGGAATGTTATCTCTACATTAATGAAGATAAAATATTGTGGAAAACAAATCTACATAATTTTGCAACATCGTGGATCACATACCTGCTTCTGGTACCAGAGTAGGTTCCAGACTGGTTACAAACTCCCCCCTGACATCAAGACCATCCCCCTTTTTACCTCCAGTCTTTGGCTGAAGCAGTTCCAGGAGATTAACTTCCAGGCCAGCCCCTTAAAAAAGAAAAGGTGAAAATGAAAAAGAATTACTGGGACTATTAAATGATATTAGTAAAAAAAAATAAAAGAAAATGTTCTTGAGTGACATCAGCAAGATAGAGAGACTGGAAGACTTCTGACTTTCTCCCATGGATGCAACGAATAAATACCTACAGAAACTTTGGATATTTTTGTTTCTAATCCTAAAATATCCAAATACCCATCAAAGGTACTTATATACAGACTAGTATAGCTACCTGTATGCCAGTATATTGAATTATCCAGCTTTTACCAATCATACAGTAAAACAACATCAATCAAAGAAAGAGTGGTTATCATTCATTGACTTGCTCTTTCAACTGTTCATCCCTTTATAGCACAGTACTGGGGGATTTGACACTACAGATATCCAAGAATTAAGCATTTTAAGCAAAACCCTTCACTTTTTCTTACAAAAGGATATATCATGAGAAAATACTAAATATTATGTTGAAATTGAAGTAAGGCTCTGTCTCCACCAGGCAAATGTTCCTTGATCAGTCTCTACATCTATGCTATGGTTTTTGAAAGCAGGAAATGAGTTAACACACCCATCTACACAAGCTTCATTATGCTATTGTTATGTTATTATGTTAGATATGTTGACTTGGGCCTCCCTACACATGATAGTGTAAGAAAGTGCTTCCAGTTTTAATTCAATGACTAAGAAATCATGTACAATCTTATGAGTAAAATTTCCTTGGAATTACTAATGCAGAGCCAGCCCTGGATAGCAAGGCTTCTAAGACACAGAGTAAGCCTCCAAGGAAACAGCAACAATCTGTATAGCAAGGAAAAGTACAAACCTGCCAACTCTGCTCTCCACTTTCCTAATCAACTTTCAAGAAATGCTTGCATCCTTTTCCAGTGTTACTGTCATGATTCACATGTGCACCTTACCCACAGGTATTTTTCTTGCCCTTCCCATCACCTTGAGCTTCAGGCTGTCCTCCACTTTCTCTCTCCTGATCAGGTGCCATATCCTGACCTTCCATTGGAGGTTCCTCTTCTTCAGATGGCTCATTACCAGACTGCTGAGCCTATTGGAAGATGTGTGTAAATCTAAACAGAAATAAAATCTAAACTTGTATTTACATCAACAAAACAAAATTTTGTTGATAATACAAGTACCAACTTAAAAATACATAAGGTATTGAGATATATATATATATATATATATCAAACTACATGAAGACTAAAAACCATTTTTCAACCTGATTCTGCTTTATTTATTTATTTACCTATTTACTTTTGGTAATGGAGTATGCTTTCCCACTGAGCTATTGCTCTGGTTCTGTTTATTTTTGAGACAGGGTCTCTCTAATTTGCTGAGGCTGGCCATCAAATTGCAATCCTCCTGCCTCAGCCTCCCAAGTCACTGGAATTACAAGTGTGTGCTGTCAGGCCTAGCTTCTTATTCTTTTTTTTTCTTTTTGTTAACAAAGCTAGTCTTCTCATGCTGAGGTTACTCCCGCAGGAGTTAACTGCAGTGACTTTATAAGGGATTTGAATATACATGGACATGGATGCATGGGATCTATTGTAAGCATCAGAAGGAAATCATCACTCATAGTTCCTTTGAAAGTAAGAGCATCCATCCAGGCCACAGTAGAACAGACTCCTCCTGGATCAAAGTCTCCTTTATGACACCAACCATCACCCCTTACCATCATGGAAATATATTACCAGTCTAGCTGTAATATCAACAACATTTCTCAAAAACGAGCTTCTGTTAACAGAAAACATCAAATATGAAAGCACTCACGACCACAGGCTCAGCAGGCTGAGAAGATTCTTGTTCATCTTTTGTCTCTCTAGATTTTGGGTTTGGTCTTCCTCGTCTTTTCATATTTCACACTGAAAGCTACATAATGTGATTTGAAATACACATTTAAGATAATGGCATAGGCGACCATTTCCAAAGCCCTGAGTTAATGCCCAATTTTCTAAAATGTAGAATTCTTCTCCAAAGTAAATCCCAGGATAATTGCATCTCTGCATTCTTCCCCAGTGTTTTGCAGAGCCTTTATTTTGTCCAGGCTGTCAGAGAAATTGCCTTAAGGCCCAAGGCAACATCCTACATTTTGGATGAGGTTCATTTGGACAAGTGGATTTCCCATCATGGAGACATGTAGGAAAATACTCCTCGAGAATTAAAATTCACGAGGCTACTGCTTATGACACACTCCCAACAACTAGGTCCATTCGTCCCTAAAATAACAATTTTCTTGAAGGCACAGTCTCCTTAATTCCCTCCCAAAGCCTTTATGGGTGTTTTGGTACCATCCAGAGCACAGGTGAGATATTGAGATAAAGATCACTAGTTATGCCACCCACTGGTTATCACTAGTTATGCCACCCACTACTCTGCACATCTAAGGGATGCAGTCACAATCCCACATTGTGCCCATGTTTTCATGTTCATTCCTCACTTCCCAACCTGCTGCCCGCTAGAGTCCCCACTGGAGACTTGGGAATGTGTCCTATGGGTCTGGAAGACACCTCCAGGATTCCAATGACTTCATCACCACCTCCGACATTCCTCCCAGCTATAAAGGTAGCCAACCTCACCACAGTCCACCTAAGTCTTCCCAGCCCCTTCCAGGATAGCAAATGCCCATGGTGATGGTGTCACCTTTGAAAAGGATGACGACCTCCAGATCCCTCCCACTCCCAGTGCTGGAAGCTGGCTGGTGCCTCCTCATAATTCTACAAGTCTGACTCAAGGACTCACCTGCTTGCAATCAGCAAGAAAGAATGAATACTACCCAAAGAAAAAAGACACAACCAGCCTTGGCATAGCTCTAGGAACACTAGGAAGGTAGTAGAGCGCATGCGCAGTAACTGACACAAAGCAGGGAGCATGCGCACTGAGTCAGGCTCCCTGAGTGGGGGCTGGGCTTTTTCCAGCCTCAGCAGAGACATTCTGTCTTGCAGAATGAGATTCTGGCGCAGCCACCGCCCAACAACTTTTTAAAAATTTTTTTGTTTCCCTTGCTGGATCTTACTTTTTCTACTTTGAGATTAGAAAACTCTAGCTTATCTTTAGGACAAGATATATTTCAGAAAGGCCCACTTTAAAAGGAATACTTAATAAGGAACTTAATATGTATTTCTTTCTTTTTTTTTTCAGGTCAGACTTGGAACCTGAGTGGTCCTTATCATCAAGTCTTCTTTTTTTCTTTCATTCTTTTTCTTTTCTTTTTATTTTTATTGAGTTTTAAAAAATAAACGACAGCAGAATGCATTACAATTCTTATTACACATATACAGCACAATTTTTCATATCTCTAGTTGTATATAAAGTATGTTGATGCCAATTCGTGTCTTCATACATGTACTTTGGATAATGATGACCATCACATTCCACCATCCTTGCTAAATCCCCTGCTCCCTCCCTTCCCCTCCCACCCTTCTGCCCTATCTAGAGTTTGTCTATTCCTCTCATGCCGCCCCTCCCTACCCCACTATGAATCAGCCTCCTTATATCAGAGAAAACATTTGGCATTTGTTTTGGGGGGATTTGCTTTAATATGCATTTTTTATTTTCTTTTTCATTATTTTTAGTTGTAGATGGACACAATATTTTATTAATTTTTATGTGGTGCTGAGGATCAAACCCAGTGCCTCACATGTGCTAGGCAAGTGCTCTACCACTTAGCTAGGACTCCAGCCCTCTTTTTCTTTCTTTCTTTCTTTTTTTTAATTGACTCTGCTAGAGATTGAACATGGGGGCACTCTACCACTGAAATATCCTCATCCCTTTTTATATTTCCTTTTGTCACAGGGGTTTGTGGAAGTTGCAAAGCTGGCCTGTAAAAGTGAAGTTTTCTGGACTTAGCCTTCTTTGTCACTAAGTTTGTAGACATGTGCTGTAGTGCCTGGCCTTCATATGTATCTTTGTATGTATTTTGAACAGAAAGTTCTTTCCTTGCTGTTGCTGCTGCTTTGTCTTTTCCTTCTTTTCTTGCGTGTGTGTGTGTGTGTGTGTGTGTGTGTGTGTGTGTGGGAGGTCATCATTTCAATGTCTTTTTCCCACACTGAGTTAATAAATGCATTCAGATTTGTTGTCTTTGAGGAGAGAAAAATGTGTACATTTAAATTTCTGACTATATCTGTCATCATTCAGCCAGGATATTCAGAAATATACATAGATATTGGTCTTAGCATCTAGGTTAAGGCTACTGTCACATGGTATACAACAGTAATGGCTACCTCATCATATACAGATGAGCATCATCTTCCACTATTAGCCCAATGACTTGCAGCATATGCCAAAGCTGAAGTTTTCACTCAATGCTGTAAGGGAGCAGAGTACCTCAGCAGAGAAAGTGGCACCACAGAGGTGGAAAGACTTAAAGGATATTCATTTGGATTTTGAAGTCTAGCATAGGAGGGGATCTTTTAAGGTGGTTGATGGGTTTGGGATTGGGAAGGAATTGTGATGTAATGATTCAAGGTTGTTGGACATAGGGAAGCTCAGAATTTTTAATTTATTTGTAATTGACCCTTAATATTTGTGTGTTTATGGGATATAACGTGATATTTCAGTATGTATGTATATCATGTGTAATAATCAAATCAGGGTAAATAGCATTTCCTTCACTGCAATGATTTATCCATTCTTTGTATGGGAAAGTTTCAAAATCTATCTGCTAATAATTCTGAAATACACAGTCAATTGTTAACTGTACTCACCCTAGTCTGTTATAGTACTCTGTAACGTATCCCTTCTATCTAACTGTATTTTGGTGGCCAATATCCACCCTCCCTTCTTCTCCTCTCAGCCTCTGCTGACCTCTGTTCTCCTCTCCACTTCTATGAGGTCAACTTTCTAAGCATCCACCTGTGGATGAGGACATGTAGCACAAGTGTTTCTGTAATGAAGACACAGCTTTTGAAACACAAGTTTGAAAGAATGTTGGGGTGAAAAAATGTCACTCAACACTTTCATTTGTGGAGTGATGGGCCTTTCCTGCAGCTGGTGAAATGAACAATGAAGTTTTTGGGAACTTTACTTTCCTGGGTAAGAGATTCCTGCATTAGTATAGTTATGTTGAGGTAGCCAGTGGCATATAAACTCTGGTTTATGTGAACAGTGGGCTGTGTGGATGCTTTCAGATCTCATTACTTCCTTTTATATACTTTCAGTTTAGTGTGGGAAATGAGTCACTGCTTCCACTGTCAGGGTACAGCTTATCTCCCTTCAATAAACTATTGCCCCATGTCCCACCCCACCTCTATCAGCAGAATTGACATGAGGTTTAAGACCACCCTCTCATCGTGCTCCATTGCATAATCAAAGAAGCTAACTTTCCCAAAGTATAAACAGCAAGATCCATTTTTCTCAAAATAATTACCTGACCATCCCGAGGAGCATGCACTTAGATCCAAGATTGATCCAGAATATCCCAATAGGGAAAGCCCCTGTTTGAGGCCCCATACATGTTTTTGCATCTCATATATCTAATGTAAACCAGAGAACAAGCTTTCTGGGACATGCACAATAAACATTGTAGGCAAGACACAGGAATATGTCAATCACTCATTGTTTAGCAGAAACCTCTGTTAGAAAAAAAGCCCACCAAAGGCAAATAACTTAGAAGCACATATAAGCTAAGTTCCCCTTCTGAGTGGATGGGCAAGATTCCTTTGTCACTGTTCCCACTGTCAGGGTACAGCATATATCCCTCCAATAAACTCTTAACTGCTTTCTGTTATCTTGATGAATTCTTCTCATGCTTTCCATGTCATCCCTTCCCTGCACTGGGCATCTTCTAAACGCCCCATGAAAGAAAATAGTACATGAACAGTAAAGAGAATAAGGGGACTCTGATTGGCAGAAGGCTTTCTGTTAGTAATTTAGGATACAGTGTTGCAGTGGCTTCTATACTTTCCATGTGGCTGGGCTTCGCTTAAGAGATATATTGAGCAGAAAGAAGAAATTTCTCAGTCTTTCTCTTTCCTTAATCAGTACCTTGAATAGGTATATGGTTCTGTAAAATTTTAAAAATCACACACACACACACACACACACATCCCCACACACAATGAGAGTAGTCATTATCTCATTATCTCATGGCAATATTTAGCTTATCTTTTATCTTGTTTGGTCATTCTCAGCAAGGATATTATCATTACCAATGTTTATGCCTTTTTCCATTCTTAATTCTAATTTTTAATGTAGTACACTGCAAAGCACTCAATCAATGGGAGATGCTAAGTTCCAGATTTAGACTTTCAACGAGCAGCTACTTAGCAAATAGTCAAACACTTGCTATCAGATAGTTGGAGGTTGTGCATCCTGAGAATTTGTGCTTGATGAGATGTGAATGGCTCCACAGCAGCTTATAAGGGCAGGCTTCAACTGATGCCCATCTCTAGCTTCCTGTCTCCATTATTGTGAGAGGTTATCCCTGAACAACCAGAAGTGTTCGAAGGATTGTAATTAGATTTGGATGTGAAAAGTTGTGAAACAGTTCTGGTGAAACACTGGAAACAGCAAAATGTATGGAATACCTTGAAGAGACAAGAATTGCCTGATGCATGACCCTAAGGACTCTCTTAAGGATGTTAAGTCAGGAGTGTGGGCAGGAATCCATGGCAGCACCTCTACTGGAGGGATGCCTCAATTCCTCACATGACCAATACTCCCCATCTTCTAGGTAAGGATTCAATACACAAATTTAGCTTAACATAGGACCCAGGGATGCAGGAAGGTCAGAAAATGCCTACAGATTCTGGGACACTGTCATAAGAGTGCTGTAATCCACACCACCTAATCTCATACTGGTGTCTGATATTTATTCATCTATTCCCTACCATGTTAAATACAATTCTCATGAATTAGGAGCACATTAAGAAGATGGAGGTACCCTCAGTACAGCAGAGTAATGCATGACATTAACGTACACTTCAGCCCAAGCACAGCCTCCATATGATGCTGAGAACACAAGAAACCACCTGTCAGCCCTTTTGCCTGACAGTTCCTGTCTCTCCATGTGATGCTTACCATGTGCAAGACAGACACTACTATCTGCAGATCAATCTTACAGGAAGTATCGGGGATTATGTTTTGTGGCAACCTTGCAGGACCCATATCAAGGATGGCCTTTTAGTGTGAAAACACTTGAGTGCAAAGGAGGACTACAAAATTGGGTTTTCCTGTGTATGTAAGAGTAATTTTATAGCCCAATATATTCACCATTGAAGGTGTCCATGATCCATTATACTGTTTTCCAATGTGCAGATTCTAATCAATTTTGTAAATCTTAAAACAGAATATATTATAAAGTAGAATATATATGGAAAACTTTTACATTCTTCATATGTTGATCAATATAAATAAAAATATATGCATCATAAAAGAACATTTATCTGTAAAGTTACAAGTGAATATTTACCCAAATGAAACACATCATTTATATTTAAAGAGTTTTTTCATATAGCTTCTGAAGAAATTTCAAAACGCAGAGTCTTAGAAAATAAAAACATCTCATCAAGGGGTAATGTATAAAATAGCTCATTTCACTATACCATTTGAATGATATCCAGGGAATATCAAAAGTTCCCTAAAAAGATCAAATGTTTGTTCATTTGATAGAGAAAATTTTATCTCAATGCCTCAATGCTTGCTTTTTCATTTTTAAATTAGTGGAATTTCTAATAATGTTCCTATAGTTTTGTGATTTGAACTTTAGTGAAGGGAGCTGATTTTCATCTTAATTTTGTTTATTTATCCTTTTATTTTCATGATGATTTAAAGTGTTTCTCTTCAAAATTTCATTGAGACTATGTGTATAAAAAATTACCCATTAGTTTT